AGCAGGACAGGGAAGCAGAAAGCCCCAGAGAGCAGGAAGGTGAGTGGCTGTGGCCTTTTCAGCACCCCGGGAAGCAGCCTCAAGGGGTCTTCTGTGACCAAACCCTGTCACATTTTTCTGATGTTTGTAGGTTGTTTTTTCTTGTCATTAGTTGATTACAATATCCCTGTATGATTTATTTTTCCATGTTTAAGGTGCTCTAATTGCAAATACAAACTCTCTGATATTCATGTTCATTATATCAAGCTGGTTGCTGTTCTTGTTTGTTACTTGTTAATGAGATTTGGGTGTTCAATACTTTGTTTCACAGCTAAGACAAAAATTCTGTTGAGGTATTTTTTACAAAATGAATAATCTCTGTCAAAACAGGTCACCAAAAATGAACAGACAAACCCCATGTCCTCTGATTTACAGTGCTAGTATTGAAGTTTGTGCAAAGCAATGCTAGTGACAGTTAACTAAATACTACAGATTAGTTAACTATTTTAAATACATTTTTTTGTGAGCAATATGTGAATCAGTTCAGATAAAATAAAAGCCAACTTGTTCCTTTAGTCATTCCTCACACACAGATCTGTGTCTTTTGTGACAAACAAAAATATGACATTACAAACATAAACACAAAACCTGCTTTGTTTGAGCACTGTTTTATGAGTCGTAAATCCCAAGCAGTATTTTGAATCTGGCCAAAACTAGGAATTGTTGGAATGCTATGGGCAAGCTTGTTCATGTTATATTTCAGACAGGCTTTTCTGTTGCAGTTCTGCAGCCTCTATTTTTGGGGGGAAGCACTGCAAGGAGGAAAGTTGCTTCCCAAGATGGTTATCAAACATGTTTGTATGTAAGAGGTTTCCTTTCAATTGTCCCAGAAGGGGCCAGACAGCCATAACACAAATAATATAAATAAAATGCTCTGAGCCAGATTCTCATCTAGTGAAGGATGGTGCTGTGCTGATTTATCCAAGCTGAGGATCTGGTTCTGGAAGCCAAGATCAGCTTCAATGCTCCACTACAGTAATTACAACTTATGGAGCCAGCAGGCCTCAGAACCGTCACTTTTCCCTTTTTTCCCTACTAGTGTAACATGGAGCATTTATATTTTAAGTTATTCTGCTATTTATTTTTGTACATTTGTATGATAATCATTGTGAGAGCTCAGTGAGAACCTCAGTATTGGGCTGCTAAAGGGCACAAAGTGTCCTCATTGCATGACAGTAGTCGACACGAGGGATGTGAAAGGTTAACTGGGAAGTATCACCCTTACCATCACCCCATTGTCAACTCTGTCTACATATCTATACGAGCGACATCATCACAGGATGTAACCACAAAGCCACACTATCAGGGGCTCATCCACCATGTATGTATCACTCTTCCATGTAAAGTTAGACATATGGAGTATGGAATGGTTTAGGGGTTTAAATGTGCAAAAGAAAGCCATCAAGGGTGTTTCCAGTGCTGGGATGCCTCAATGTCTTGGCAATCATATATAAACAGCCTCTTTTGTCCTTTAAATTTTAGCAGTGGTTGGTCTGAGGGAGTCATGTGACCTTCCTACCTGGCTAGTCCCCGCTAGTTAACTTCCCAGGTAAGGGTGGAATGTGGAAACAGAACCCCTGCCCAAAGCGGAATCTATAAAACAATAGGAAGCTAGGAGGTCATTGTCTTTGGCTGGTGTGACACATCCATGGGAAGGAACCAAAGGCTCCAGGGAGAGGGAACTTCCCTGGTTTTGAAGGCTTATCTGGAACCAGAATGGTTTCAGGATGAGTTTGCAACTAAATTGTACTGAGATTTTAGTGTTAGAATTAGCTAAGCATTTTCTGTTATTTTAAATGTGTAATCTACTTCACTCTGCCTGGTCTCACTTATAAACACTTAAATCCTACTGCTTGTACTTAATAAAATTGCTTTTATTTACTATCAAGACAATGTAAATAATTGTAACCTGGGGAAGCAATCAGTGTGTTTTTCATTGCTAAGGGGGCTTACCTAAATAAATCATTTGGGGCTCTGTCCCATTTGGGGAGTAGTATCCTGGGAAGCTAGGCCCAAAACTGCTGTGTCCTTGCACCCGAAGAGTTTGAGTATCTGTACTGCTCCTCGAAGGGGGTGGGGGTGGCAGCAGGGATCTCAGCTCTGTGCCTTGGAAAAGTAACATACATAA